TGGTAAGATTTCCCCGTGTGTATGCCATGTTAACCTACTTATTCTCCCTCTGTCCAGATTGATGTCCCCAATGTTATTACTCTCCATTTAGATGATCACATTTCCATCGTCGGACAGTACCATCAGTAGAACGTCGGTGAGCTTTGTTGTAGCTCTTTCTGCGACATGTCTCACGGCCTCTGATACACACCGGGATCAAAGCAGTGCCTGAGAATTGCTCGTCACTCAATGTGAGATCTGAACACCGTGCCAATCTGTACCTTCTACTAGTAGTCGATCTATTGCGAGAAACTCAATGATAAGGAGGGCCTCGCGACGATCCGTTGCAAGTCGCTCGCAATGGCGAACACGGGGAAGAACACCAATTCTTCGAAGTTCTTCGTCGTGTTGACGGACGATGCTGGTTTAGATGTTTTCGGTCATTGACGGTTCGGTTATGCACGACACGATGACATCGTCCGAGACTAGCGGCAGAGTCGTGAGGTCGCTGGCGACCTCCAGCCGCGGACACAGCGTCATGATCGACTGCCGCTTGATGGGCGTACTCGCCACCAGACCAGAAGGAAAGGAACAGGTGGTGGAAGGAAAGACGTTGTCGCCATGTGAGATATCGCCAGCAAGGTGTTGCTGCTGGGTTAGAGCAATGCCCAGATGGTTCAAGTGACACATCCAAACAACCGGAACTGCAACATCATAGGGACCCTGGCACACACCCATACTCGAGCACTCAATGCTCAATCTCGAGCTCCGCGGTCAGCGGGCCCGCTGACCGCGCAACAGAGGTTTCGGCCGCTGCTTCCATTCGTATCTTTATGTAGCTACAGTCGTGACCTGCGACACTGGACAGCGTTCACCACAACTGCCATACCAGTTACATGTGCCCGCGTGCTTCAGCTTCTCTGTCAGACTCAAGTCGTAATGCGAGTAAGTACTATTTACTAAACACAAATGTGAAACGGGTCACCTTTGGCCCAGCTTCACATCTTCAGTTCACTCTCCAGGTTCATGTTTTGCAAACTAAACGCAGTACCCTCACTCTCATATTGCGTGCCAGCCAAGCGTGACGAGAAATCGACGGTGGACAGTGCAATCTCCTGGGTCGTAGTGTCCCTGGTCCACGCCTCTCCCGAAATGACCCGCAGGATAAGCAACTGCGGCGAGATGCACTGTGTGGGATGGCGAATGCGATGCATCGTAAGCGGCTGTAGTAACAAGACCGTAAAGACTGCGTACCGTGAACATCGTGTAGATCGTGATAAACAGGATCGCAATCTCGCTGTTAAGACCATAGGAGACTAGACACGCGAAGCCGGACAGAGAAAAGGGCAAGGCCGACTCGACTATCAAGGCGAGTACACCAGTGTAGGTGCATGTCGCCTTGGGGCCGAGGTCTGCCCGCATGCGGCTGGAGTAGTACAGGATGCGACCACATATGAGGCAAGTGGCAAGTATGTTATTGCCGATGCTGATCGAAAAGTACGAGACTCCGATGTTTGCTGCCGCTCCTGTGAAGAAATTGCCATTCGGTGCCCCTGACACGTACAAGTCGAAGACACCGAGTACTGCGAAGTTTCACGTGAGCATCATTCTCGGGAATACGGGCATATTTCTCAAGCTCACCCAGGGCACAAAACCAGAGGAAACACGGGAGGATGACCACACGATAGTCGTCCCATACCACAAAGCATCGATATATCTATGACAATGCATAAGTGATTTCGCACTTAACAAGAGTATGGAAACTTACCATGAGCCCGTCGGTCATCAACTCGAGAATGACGGTAGCGGTGGAACCCATCGTCTGGTACCAGACAGACGCATATGTCGCCATATATGCAGCCTGGCCTCCGGGATAGTCTGCATTGACGACCCACATCTCCTGGCCAAAGACTGCCTCCACAGCTTCGTATATCGTGATGAGAATCAGGCTCGCAGTACTGAACCAGATCAAGAAGTTGTCGGAAAGTCCGTCACGGCTCCTCCTCTTGTATAGCGCCTGCAAGGTGAGAATGTATAACACAACTTCCACACCTGGGATGCACCGTACATGTCAGTGTTCATTTTATGTGCTTGCGTCCGCCGCAAATAGCTCAGAGGACATACCGTATAATATGCTGCCGACGTTGACAGCAACATAGTACGAGTTTTGGAAGAGAGAGTCAGACATTGGAAGACGCTACAAGTGAGAGGACCGCTGAGGATGAATTGCGTTGCGCAGACGCAGACAGGAGTGGTAGCCTTTATTAGTAGCTATCCACGCTACGTTTGACTTCGTGAGCACCAGTCCAAATTCTGCTTGTTGAACAAAAAGGTAGACATATCACCGTAACTTACATATGCCAGGGACCGAATAACCCATCAAGATGTACCATGTAACCTTTGAATCCCGCATCAGTTTCCCAAGCAAACACGAATACAGAATCAAGTCTCCCACATGTAACGTCTGGGTGCCAGTAGAAGTCGTAGCAGCACATGGTGCGGCGCGCTCGTGGAGAATGCAGCGCAACGAAGAAGCCTCCTGGATTTGAAAGGGTGTCAAAATCGCTGTCAACTGAGTATATTGGGCACCTTGGTGTGATCTTAATGATGGCATGGTGCGACCATTTCTTCCCGGAGGAGACCCCACGCCGGCGCTGCATAAAGATGATTGTAGGCTGATAAACCTTGTATGAACACATTGAAGACATCTGGCATGTATTCCTCATGTAGAATCACCCGCAGAAACGCACCTGGTCCCACTTATGTGAGAGAGAGCCGAGACGTGTTATAAGCCTGAGCTTCGAGACGTACGTTTGAATATATTTGCTCCTGGAGGTGGTATCGCGAGGAGAACTATTTCGTAGATTCCAAGAGGAATCCATCCTTAATACGGCTTAGCTCGAAGCATATCGTGAGCATCATGATCGTGGGGCCCGAGTTTCAACGTCACCGTCAGCTTGCAAGTTGCAATCGTCCTGCCAGGGAGAACGATGGAATCGAAAGCGGACACCTAACCCCAGTATGATATTGACATCAGAAGGCATACCTTTTTCTTCTTTTGATTCGAACCATACAAATACTGCGCGCTTAAAGCGCATGAGCGGTCCTATTCCTATTCGACTACCTCGCAGAGTGGATCTGGAATAGCCCTAGATAATTATCTTTACTCGTGAACATATCCCATCCGAATAGATTCGAAGGTTCTCCGGACGTTACGGTGACAAACTTGCGCATGCCTATAATTATCCGGCGCCTACGGAACAGACTGCAACGTACTCTTCTAAGAGTGCTGTCCAATGTCCCGGTGCATACGAATATTCACCAGTAAGTTTGGAGATTTACTCAAGATGGTACAGGGTTTGATGATTATTGCAGATATGAGGCTTGACGGAACTTGAAGCAGCCATCTTTGAATATCTACCAACGGAAGTGCTCCTTCGCCAAATGCTGATGTTGCGAATTCGTTCATGCCAGGCCCCACAAAGCCATGCTATAAAGGCAGGGATGCTGCGCCTCCTAACCCTCAGGCCTCAATTTCTACCCAATATGCAGCTCACCCGTCTCTTCTCCGTCGTTGCCGCAGTCTCTTTGACACGTATCGCTGTGGCATCTCCGGTGCCAGTGCCCGCCGTCGCTGTCGATAGTTTGGAGCAGAATATCCAGGAACGCGGATGTAGTACGTGTTTCGTCCTTTATCTATCCTGTGTCCAAGTCGAATATTCCTACTCACCAAATGAAGTAGACCCGGACGAGACTCACAGTAAGAATTTTCCTTGCAGATTCAACGGTGGCCAACTCATTCTCCCTCTGGACATAGATAACGAGGGCGGCTTTGGGTTAGATCATGATGCTGGTGAGCTTGTTGTAGCTCTAGTAAATGTGTTCTACGACTTTCTCGCTCAAATGTTTGTATTCACCAGGCAAAGGAGGCCAGGACAGGAGCTATGAGAAGCGCGGTAATGAACCTCCTCACACTGGCATGCCACGTATGCCTACTCATTATTCCTCTGCACGTAAGGGGACCTGTGCTGGTACAGAGCTTATGATGTCGGTGAGCTTGTTGTCGTCCTAGCAAATCTGTTCTACGTCTAACTCAAATGTCCCAGTAAAAGGAGGGCAGGGCAGGAGCTACGATAAGCGCGGTAAGAATTCCCCTTGCATATGCCATGTTAGCCTACTCATGCTTCCTCCGTACCCAGAGGACGAGGGCTCCTGGTTCAAGGCTTATGATGTTGGTGAGTTTTGTTATAACTCGATAAATGTGTTCTGTGACTTATCTCACGACCCCTGACAGACACTGTCGAAGCCGCACCCGAGAATTAGGAGTAAACCGATGCGAAGTCTGAATATCACATATCACAATTGTGTCCCGTCTGGGCCTCTCTGAATGCTATCTTCTGAGAAATCTATCCGATATCTCAAGTATTCTGCGACGGCAGAGATGAAATGAGCCTTGCGAATTAGACGCGAACCTCGGACTGGCGAAGATGCTCGCGAACTTTGCAGCACTGCACGAATGAGAACGCTGCGTGCAAGAATACACGCAACGAGAGACTGCATCACATCAAATATCACATGCACCACACAACGAAAGGGTTCGTCGCACAAGACGGAGACATTACGGGAGGAGACAGGAATGTTGGAGAGGTACGTCTAACCATTATCGGCACTCGGCCACGCATGTGTTAATCTTTTTACCTTCTAGTCGATCTATAGTGAGAAAATCAATTATAGAAGAGGGGCCCAAGATGTTGCGTCGCGAGTCGTTCGCGGTAACAAGCTCGGGGAAGGATTGATATTCTTCGAAGTTCTTCGTCAGGTTGACGGACGATGAGACTCAACAAGCTGACACAATTCAGGTCGAGGATGTCGTTTCAGCGAGCTCAAGGAGGGTGGGACGTCCTGACGCGACTTAACTTCATCGGTAGGGGACAACCAGCATGCACATGGGTAACTTAGGAGGATGTAGGATAAACGAACCGGGGCCTCAGAATGATATTTAAAAGAAAAACAATCTTATTGGGCATTTGGCACAGTGGTAGCGCGCACGCTTTGCATCTTTTCGTTTGCTAACGAGACAGTGCGTGAGGTCCAGGGTTCAAGCCCCTGAATGTCCATTTTGACCACTGCGAGTGGCCATAATGGCCAGGGCCAACAACTGTACAGCGTTCAAACATTTTGCTACCGTTTCGGTGCTCTTGCGTAAGTGCAGCGGGCGAAGGAGTACGCGTGCGTTACATGCGTGTGCAAAGCTGAGATAGCGATCATGATATACTGTGCTAACATGAGGAATATAATAGTCTACGGGGAACGCGTGACGCGTCCGTACACCCAGTCTGAAAGAGCTGTCCGTGCCCAGTACCATACCAGCGAGGTCCAGCCCTCATGTCGCAAATATACCAATAATCTTGAACGCTGCCACATTACGGTCGTCTTCCTCTCCCATCAACTGGCACTCCACATAATGCGACCCGCGTGACACGCGGTGGTCGATCATCTCCAGGCTACATAGGTCAGTCAGCATGTGCATGAAGGCGGCGAGAGGAACAACGTACGCAGGTGTCGAGTCTCCGACCACCGCCGAGTTCTCAATGACGACGGCCCCGGCGTAGTTGTCGTCCACCCAACACTCCACCGCGCTCCCCAGACCGACCTGCGAGTTCGGTTCCTTCACGTAGTACACCCCAATGTCCCCCGCATTCACCTGGATGCCCACCCGCAGCTTGCTCGTCGGCAGGCTCGAGTAGAAGTAGTGCGCGTGCGACGATAGATCCGCAGAACCCGGTCGCGGGTGGAACGCCGCCCATCCGGAGCCCTCAAACAGCGACAGCGGTAATGGATTGATCAGGTCGTTCGCCGAGACGCAGTACGGCGCGACCTCGACGAACGGGTGTGCCTCGAGCTCCGCCGGGCGGCTGTTGATGCGAGCGGGCGGGACCCGCAGGTTCGGATGGGCCGCGGCGACGGGAGTCTTCACGTTCGTTTCAGGGACCAGGACGGGGTTCGGGTTCACCCCGCCGTTCTCCGCCCACTCGGGCGCTGCTGCACCCGCTGCACCCTTGCGATCTGCGACGCCGCCGAACAGCCCCCGCGCATCGGTAGGTTGTTTGGCGTTGACGTCCATAATGGCAGGCCCGACGGCGGGCACAAGCTCGTGCGACGTGCCCGTCACCGCCGCCCACGCTGCACATATTTGTGACTGGAAGTAGGAGACGAGCACATCGCTGATGACTTCGTGCCCAGCGGAGTTGGCAAGCATTGGGTCGGCGAAGTAGCGCTGAATGGATTTGGGTCGGACATGAAGCTCGGATAGAGCAGCGGTTTGACACTTGATTGCGATGTGAGCAGCAACAACCTCAACGAGGACGTAAATCATACCTGACGTGCGGAACGTCGTAGAACTGTGCAACGAGACTGTGCCAGTGATCTGGGCCTCCAAAGCCGTTCGCTTGTGCGACTTGAGGGCTAAAATGACCCAGAATGATCACCGCTGGCTGGTCTGGACGGATGAGAATCGAGCGAATGAGGAGCTCGAACTCCTCCATTGCCACTGACTCACTGAAGACACTGGTCAGTGGTTGGCAGTATTGCAAGGGCGGAAGACCAACTTAGCATCATCCACGTCGAGTTCAACGATGACGAGGTCTGCAATATCCGGGATGTGGTGCCCATTGCAAAACGCAAAATATGCCGAGTTAGTGCGCCGCATCGCGCCGTTTGTCAACTCGGACGCAGGATGGGGGAACACGCCATTCCACCAATTGAAGAATCGCGAAGGGTAGCATTGTGGAGATAGTGGGTCATCGCCAGCTCCGTGGCAAGCGGATACTGGAGAAGTCAATAAGAGGGGTCAGTTCAAACCATTTCAGAGGTCGAAAATGTGCCGACTACACAAAATAACCAAACCACACCCGATTGTTCAGAACTTATTTCAGCACGATGAACAGAAAGCACAACAAACATACATGTAACGCGACTATGCGGGAATGATAGCAGTGCAATCTGACATCGCGCAACGGAAAACCACAAAAATACACAGAAAGCTCTTCCACTCGACTGAACATGCAAACAGTCCTCGCAACATGTCTGCACGATGTCCAGGAAATGCGGGGTAGGACGCGAGATATATGGCCTCATTGTGTTGATTGAATACAGGAAAGCAACATTGCACAAGATATATGCGCATGGACACAATATGAAATCAATGTCCAAAAATAGTACTCACCAGAACCACCGAGTACGCTGATGGTAACCGGAAGTCCCGCCAACGCCTTGTTAATGACGCGCTGCACGCGTGCCCCGCTTCCGGTGTGGAATCGGGTCTTGGAAAGAGTGACAGGGTCGTACTTGGCGGCTAGCTCGTCGCCTGGACCCAGTGCAGGACAGAACGGGAAAGGGTTGGCGTCCGACGCCGACACATTCAAGTAATTCTTCGGCCTCAGATCCGCATACAGCGTGCGATGTCGAGGTGCAGAGCTGTCAGAGGGCAGGATGGATCGCGTGAAGAGTACGAGGGCGAGAAAGAGGGCGAGAATGAGCCATATGCGGTTGGTGACACCGAGGCTTTTCTGATTCAAACGAGAGGGGGCCTTTTCTGGATCGGAGCCCATTCGCGCAGGGCCGAGCGGGGGAGATATGTGGGCGTGTGCTTTTCCTGGGCGCCGTTGCATGCACACAACGACGACGCTGCTGGCGGCGGCGGAGAGGTGGTCGTCGAGAGGAAGGGACTAGCCGACAGCTCAGCGCTTTGCCGGAGCTGGCTGGAGTCGGCCTTTGCTCCCCGCCATTTATCCGTTCATCCTGTCATCCCCTGGCCCCCTCATCCACGCGTCTAAGGCACCAAGGACCCCAACGTCGTTTTCGCTGTTGTTGGCAGCGCGGAATTGTCACACCGGAGGTAGCGCTTTTCGCGCCTGATCAATCTGTTACACGTTCTGCTGGACGAGGTCAAGGTGAGGTGAGTACTTGGTTATCCCTGTGGACAAATGGTTGCTTGGGGATATTTCCAAAGTTTCGTCCTCTCATGGAGATCAGTTTTGAGACGAGTATAGATCGTTGCACGGCAGTGAGAAGGTACGGCAATACACATCGTCGGCCCGTGTACTCAGGGTGCACCAGCGGGTAGCAAGGACGCTGGCGATCCGCTGGCTGCACCCTGACCATCACTAGGGTATATTAACAGCGACAATATTATGGACCTGAAGCATCTAAAAGATTCACAATGGTGGCAGCGGTGCCCATGTCGAACCATGCAGTACAATCTCTCCTGACTGTTCTAGGACTACGACAGAATCATTGCTTCATACTGCAGTATCGCCCTAGGCTGAGGAATGAATGTCCGCAGGCCTGATATACATCCGTTGCAGCTAGACCCCGTTTACCTTCTGGTTCAGTGTTGACATCTTGTCTTCTTGCAGCGAAACCCACAATATGCAGGCAAAAAGCTCCAACCCATTCAAACGGCTCCCGACGTGGGTTTCACTTTCTCTCGGGGTTTTTCTCGGTCTCTTCGTAGCTAGGTTTCTCACCACAAGCGTAAGTTCGAGTTCTCCCAGCTTCTCATTCACTCATCCGCTTGCAGCCATCGACAGCGGGTCCATGGAGAGGCGGGCGTGCACCAGCATACCAGGCCAGTCGAATACCCTCACGACATGTCATGACCGTTCCTACTCTCGAGCAGCGGTTCCGGGTGCTGGAGCTTCTGACATCCCTCTCTCCACACTACACGAAGGAGTGTACCCGCAATTCCCAGTCCATGTACAAGGAGCAAGCAGAGGAGCGCTATTCTGCACTCATTGGTCACCAGTCACCTTCGAGTTCGTCCTGGCTGGAGAGCCTTGGGCTCGGTGCCGGCGCCGAGGGAGACTTCGTGCCTCGTTCACTTGCGCCAGACAGCCACAAGTACTTCTTCGCAATCAACCTGTATAACTCGTTTGACGTGGTGCCAGACCTTTTCGCAACCCTCTTTCGCGTCGCCGCTATCCTCGGCTACCACAACGTGTACGTGTCTATCTACGAGAACGGCTCGACGGACCAGACAAAGGCGCTCCTCCGCATATTCGACGCGCTTTGTCGGTCTGTCGGCATGCGCGTCATGATTCGCACATCCATGCGTACACGCGGTGCATTCAACCACCGCATAGAGTATCTCGCCGAGGTGCGCAACGCCGCGTTCGTGCCGCTGCACGAGCTGCGCGACGCGGAGAACGAGTATTTCGACACGATTATCTTCATGAACGACGTCCTACCATGCGTCGACGACCTGCTCGAGCTCATCTGGCAAAGCCGCATGAACAACGCGGGCATCACTTGCGCCGCGGACTACATGTTCCACGAAGACCTCGTACGTCTCGCGATTTCCCATACACCTCGTCGCTGACGCGGCGGCTCCCCCACAGGGCTCGCCCGTGTTCTACGACAACTGGGTCGCGCGTGACATCAACGGAACCGCGCTAGAGAACGCGCCGTTCGAAAGCATCATGCACCACGGCGCGTCGCAGGACCGCTTCCAGCGGCACCTCCCGATCCAGGTGCAGTCGTGCTGGAACGGGATCGCGATCCTCGACCCCGCGCCGTTCTACTCGCCGCCGCACGTGCGCTTCCGCATGGCCCGCATCCTCGAGGGCGAGTGCTCCGCGAGCGAGTGCAGCTTGATCTGCAACGACTACTGGGAGGCGGGCTACGGCCGCATCCTCATGGTGCCCCGCGTCAAGCTCGCGTACGACCGCGTGCGTGTTCCCGTGCTGTCTCCGCGTCCGCCTGCTGACACGTATACAGCGGGTGTATGAGATCATCCACCCGCCGCGGCGCAACCTGACGTCCATCCGCGGCTACGTCCGCCTGGGCGGGCTGCCCGACAATCCGCGGACGGACCCGCAGGACCGCGCATGGTTTGGTCCACACGACCGTCTCTTCACCGAGGAGGAGAGCGACGAGCTGGAATTTGTTCCTGGGCCCGACTACGGTGAGTTGTCCTTTCCTACTGTGCGGTTCGGGACACTGACGGTCCGCAGTGTGGTGCTGGGGATGGGACGGCGCAGGCGACCTCGACGGGCCGGACGTGGACCCGATCTGGGAGCGGATGTCGAACAAGTCGACAAAGGCCGAAGCGGTGAAG